GAACAAATACACCATAAAATCTAAGTGTCATAAGGTTTCTCTCCGATTCATGAAAATGATGGTGAGGAAATGTTTTCATTAAGAAGATTTTAAGTAGATAGCAATTATAATATTTGCATTCTCAAAGTCGTTAGTGGAGCGTGTGTTGTTAACCGACACATTAACATGGACTTGTGAGGAATGGACAAGTTATAAACAACTGAGACTATGATTACGACATCCCGTTTCATTGTTCTGAAATTGTTTAGACACAGATGTGTGCTATCTAAGGAAAGGTGTATGATTTTGATAAAGTTTTATCAAAGCATCTCGTATCTAAAGTCTGAACTTTGGTAAGAATGTCAATAAAGCAATGATTTCTAGAAGTCCATTTGATTTCTGAGTGCATGTTGAAAGCTAGTGGGCGCATAAGTGTTATGCTAATAATCATCATGTTAGTGGGAGCATGATAATTATGATAAGTGTTGTGAGTTAGCAATGTTTATTATAAAAAACCAAAAGCTTGAATTGTGAAAAGTTGTTTTGCTATAATTAAGGGAGAGGAAATTATACTTCATTTCAATTCTAAAAGCTAAGATTGAGATTTTAATCATCTTTAGTCAAGGATATATATATATATATATATATATATATATATATATATATATATATATATATATATATATATATATATTGCATTCTCAAAATTTTGATTATGATTACGGCATCCCTCTTCATAGTCGAATTATGAAAAGCTAGAAAATAAAAATATTGTAGCAAAAGACTGATCTAGAATCATGTCTTTATGTGAGACATCATGAATTGTGTCCCATATGCTTCAGGTATAGGATCTATTGCATGTGCTATAATATTTATCATTTCTAAATTTTCCAAATGCCTGGTGGCATTAAGAGGGGGAAAGGTCTAGAATTGTATATGACTAAAATGATTAAGCAGTTATCGAGGACAATCTAAGGTTTACCAAATATTGGTTGCTTAGGGATAGTTGGAAGTATAGTGTTAATTTTGGAAGGACTATATTGACATATTCTAAAAAGAGGCAACTCTTGTTCAGAATTGATAGTCAAAATGAGAATATGGAAATATTCCTATAGGTGGAAGTTATTCATTAAATCTATGTAAGATTAGGAAACTTAGTGCAAGAACGATGTTCAAAGCAATGTACTTCGAATTTGAGACTTCATTTCCATGGAATGTTCTCCATTGGAATACTTTTTAATGACTATTGACAAGTCTTTGTGACTTTGTGCATATTCATTACGAGTGGCTCAGTGCATATAACTTAAAAAAATACAACATATTTAATGGCATGAATTTGGAATTCTTGCATTTGTTGTAAAGATTTGGGATTGTGAAATGAGAATCATTGGAATTATGTTCAATCGATCTATTACACGAATTAAATATCATAGACAAACATAGTGTGCATATATGGTGTATGACATGACTAGTGTTCAGGAAAAGGAAAAAACACATTGTACATGCTTGTAGAACGAGACAACTATTGTTTTAATTCACGTATAAAGTTGATAATTCGAAACAGTATGCAATGAACAACGTGTAATCAATATGGTGATAAATAAAAGTTGTTCTATTTATTTTCTTAAGTTCTGAGACCATCTTGGATTTGATTATTCATATCCTTCACTTTGCATGTTTTGACTTCCAGAATAACTGGGTCGTTCTTTCTGAATGATTATGTTATTCAAACCATCCACAATCGATAATACGTTGGAAGTAGGTATTAACGCAAGACTGTCATGAGGCTAGTTTGTAGATGTCCAAGGTAATGGACATAGCAAGAGTTGCTACAACATTCATGACTGCTCATAAGTTCTGAGTATTGGATTAAACCCACACTTATTTAACTCACTTCATGGATTTTATCACGAGTGATCATGAGACGATAATATATTATATTCTTCACACCTAGAGATATGAGTTGTTGCCTATGAGTTGGCTATATATTGATTGTACGAAAACACACTGGTAACTCGATGTTATAAAATGAGCCTTTGTGTATGATTTAACAAGTAGTAGAACAAGCATACGAGTCGAAGTTTATCCATTCATGTTACCCTTAAAGGGATAAAAGTGATATATGTGGGCCCCTCAATGATTTAGTGATGACACCCCAAAGTGCTTGGTCAAGCCTGGACTGATTTGATTTGTTCAACTGCTCGGTCTGTAACAACGTGGATTTTTGAAACAATTTTTCATTTTTAAAAACATACATTCATTCATAAGATAATATCAAAACATAATGTATCTAAAGTTATCATGACTAAACATGTCCCAGAATCTCAAAGCATAAACTCCATCAGTGTGTACGGATCATGCCGACGCCTTCCCGCGATCCTCACTGGTACCCGAAACACATAAATTATAGCACTGTACCCATAAATGCTTACTGAGTTTCCTAAAATACCACATACAACACATATTAGCCACTCGAGACTATAACTCTGTATGACCCTCTGGTCACTATGTCTCAGTGGGACCCTCCAGTCCCATAACTCTGTGGACCCTCTGGTCCAAACTCTATGAACTCTGAATCATACATAGCACAAATCACATAGAAATCACATCATATAAAAACATACAAGATACTCTATCACATAACTCTAATTACCACCCAAGGGTATCGTGAGAAGACTCACCTCAAATATCTCTGATAATCTCGCACATGTATATCCTGATCTACCACCCACCTAATCACATAACAATATCTTCAAATAAATAATGGCTCTTAAAGGCTAGATTAAAACCCTTCCTAATATCCCACAAAAGGGTAAAAGACCATTTTACCCCTCCATGACCCAAAGGTCTAAATGTTGACCAAAACCCTAAAAGTCAACATCAGGCAATATGCGGGGCATACCAACTCGTGTACGTTGGGCATACCCTGGCTATACAGAATCGAGGGACTCGGGCCCTACGCGGGGTGTACTGGGAATACGCCCAACGTAAGTCCCAGTTTCACGTTTCCTTTGATTTTTAGTCTGAATCCATTAAGACCTAACCTCAAACTCCAAATCTAAGCGTTCTAATGCCATTTAATCCATACAGTCAAAACCTTTAATCCTTTTTATGGCTAAAAGGGTTATTACTCCATGGAGTCCCTTAGAAAATGAAGTCTTCACCTTTGGGACTTAAACCCTAAAAATGGCCCATAAAACACATATCCAAAATGAAGAGGAAAGTTCTGAGCTTTTTACCTCCAAGTGATGTCCTCCCCTCTAAATATCCAGATTCAAAGCTTGCACTCCAAGACTAGCCTCCACAAAGGTCTTCTCTTCTTATTCACAACACAAAAAGGAACTTCAAGCTCAAAAAAACAAACACACACACACACACAGGCTTAGGATGAAGGTTAGCTCTCGCTTAGAGTTTCACTCTCTCAAATGGTGGTTGAGAATAAGGCCTTAGCTTTCTTTATATAGAGCTCAAGTCACAATTAGGGTTTTCATCTGGGCCCGCTACGCCCAGTGTAACCCTGGGTACGCCCAACATATCTAGGTGGATCTGCATCCAAATTAAGCGCATTAGTACGCGCAACGTACTCTTCAGTACGCCCAATGTACTCAACGGCCATAATTTCCTTTAGGGTTTAATCTTGACAACTTAGAAAGAAAATAAGTGTTAAATGATTATACCTGAATTTCGGGATGTTACACGGTCATCATAAATCATAAATCAGGAAACAACAAATGGACAGATAGAATGATTATAATCCATGTTTCAGTCCATATGATATCTAGAATTGAGGAATATGTGTTCCCTTATCTAATGGATGTGTCACTGATTTGTTCAGAGTACATCAACGACTTTCTAGACCTACGATTGCCAGTCAGGTTTTGAAGTCATACGCAATAATAGTTTTAGACTTATCCATGTGGGAGACTGTTAGATTAGTATCTAAGTTCATAACTATAACTGGTATGTACTTGACCCAACTTGGCATGATCGATTTGGGTCGCGTGGCATCGGAACAATTGGATAAACAAAATGAGAAAATGGATACTAGTGATTTATATTAATATATTATAATTTCTAATATATTAATATGAAATCATATTATTTAATTCGTATTGATCAAGAATTAACTTAGAATTAATTTTATGATCAAATGGAACTAATTAAATATGGACTCTTATATATAATTGGCAGGTCAATTTCATTTAGGTTGGGCTAAGCTTTCATGGATAGTCCATGGAGTGTTTAACCCATGGATTCTATGGAAATGAAAGGTCATTGATATTAGGATTTACATAAATGTAACCCTAATCCTCCAAACTATATAAAGAGATCTATCGTTATTATCACGTTACTCCAAGTGTTCTTGATGTTGTGTGAACCATTTGAAGTGTCACACTTGGGTAACTAGGCTCTTGAGCTCCATGGAATCAAGTTATAACAAAATGGTATGTCTTCTAACTTGTTTATACTACCCAAGTATCAATGATTGTATGCTAGTTAGGGGAATACCTTGGAAAGTTCATGTTTTCATGTATAATAGAGAAAACATAGATCCAAGGTGTTTAGGGTTGCATGTACACCATATGAGTGTTAGAATGCTCAAAACCCTTCAAAAGGCACCACTCGTGAACCTTAAAAATACAATCTTTGTGAGTGTTTTGGTGTATGATGGAAGTACTTAACCGGGGCTATTGGAAATTTCTTGGACACATGACTGGGAGTTTGGATCAACTGATTCTTTGAGCAATGTATTTTGTCTTCTATTGTGTACAACAAAACACTATAATTTGCTCAGTCTTTTCTTGAGCAGGTGATTGATGGCATCAATATGAACAAGAAGCCAATATATGTTCCTTATCCTATTGGCTTGGACTAATCATAGCTCATAAGGAAGGCTATGTTGAATTTCATGGGATTATCATTCCAATTCATACCCTAACCTGAAAGATCATTAATTTTGCTGCTACTTAAGATGATTTCCATATTACGTAAGGATTCATAAATGGATTGAGAAACCATATATGGTTGAATCCTTTGACTCTGAAGAAGAGGATAATGAGGATAAAGATGGGGAAAGTACTAATATAGAAGAGGAAGATGTCGAGATTGAAGTAGATGAGCTTGTCACCAAAATACAAGACATTGTTCAGCGAATGAACTCTTCTCTAGGGATGAACAAGCACATTCAATTCTCATCCACTTATTTATCCACTCGATATGAAGGTAATGTTACACAACATGGATCAATCCCAACTTTAGTGGTAATTGTTGAGCCACTAATCCTAGATGAGATGTTTCTAAGGATAGTGTTTCCTTCACCTCAAGCTATGAATTTTCCACCTATTTCAACACTTATTCAAACTTCTACTAGTTATCAGTGGGAATCAAGCTCCACCTTTAACAAAACTATACTGTACTAACTTTCCCGTCTAGTGAATATAATTCAATCACTGGCAGAAAGATTGTCTAAGGTTGAACAGGATGTGGCTGATATGTAGAGATTTATGGCTTTTGGTGATGATGATACTGATGATATGGTTATTGATGAAACCTGACCAAATTATCTTGGTAATAATCCTCCTCCTCCTCCACCACCATCCTCAAATCCACATCTACACTCGTCATCAAGTTTACCTCCACCAAATGGTTCTCCTCCCCAATTTGATGTTGCCAACGGGGAGAATAATCAAAAACTCATGATCAGCAAATGAAAATGGTAGTGAATGCACCAACTCCATCTCTGCTTAAGATGCCTGAAACTAGAAGAGTTGAAGCAGACCTTTAAAAGGAAATTGTTGTTACTTGCATTCCACACGCTGATGCAATAACTGATGATCATCTCATTGCAAACTCTCATCATCAATTATAGATTCGATGAATATGAAGGATTTCTTGATATGGGATTCATGATCAGCAAATGAAAATGGTAGTGAATGCACCGACTCTTTTTCTTATTGTTCCTTTGAATGTGATATACACTGATTAATAATTTGAGGGGGAGATTCCTCAAAGAACGAATAGTGACATTAATGCTAATCAGCTCAATCCTTAAGGGGATATCAATCCACCAAAAAGGAAGGCTTCATTGTTAGGGGAGCTCATGACGCTAAAGATGGAAGTTCTTCTGTTGTTGGTGATCCTTTATCACCTCTTCCTCCAATAAAAGCGAAATTAGTTTTGACTTGAATGAATTGGAAAAAGTATTACAACTATTGATGAAGTGAGAGAAATCATGATAGAGAATAATGTTTCTATTCGAGAAAAGAAAGAAGCCAGAAAAGGAGAATGTTTGTCTGCCAAAATTGCTAAAGCTGTTGCTGCTACTAAAGAAAATGTTGATCTTCAAAGCACTAACGATCAAGTCAAGAAAATTTAGCTTTTCAATAATAGTGTGGAGACACAACACAGGGTTTCAGAGGTTAATGACCATATTGACAAAAAGAAGATTAGAGATGTTCAGACTTGTAGACAAAATACTGATCCCATTATCAGGGTGAGATGCACCAAACCAAGGAACATGTCTCTAAAGCTTCACTTGGTTAGGAAGAAAACTAAATATGAATACGCTGAGGTTGTATTTACTTGTGAGCTAGTCAATTTTAGCTAAAGCAAATTCAATAAATTATTTACAAACACAAGGGTATTCATGCTCATGAGGTATACTTGAAAATTTAACAGCTACTCTACAAATTCAAGATGTTGAACTCTATGTCATCAATTGGTCCATCTAGACCATCCTCCTTATGAAGAACTGGCGCTCCCAGACAGTCCAAGAATACCAAATTTCATATTCCTTATGGCACTCAGTAATCAACAATGAACTACCAACGGGTGTTGAACCAATTCAGCACATGTCATTCGAGAACCACATCATGGCATTTTATATCTTAACTGTCAAAATCACATTTTCTTTCAATGCACTGATGATCTTCCTACTACTCCGACTAAACACTTCTTCCATCTGCACAAGGAACTACTTAGTCATTTTGAACTACAAAGAGGATATCATGTTCTTATATCTATGGAGATTAGTAAATAATTGGAAGAGCTTGAAATTGATGAATTCGGATGGGTTAAGCCTGAGATCTTGAAAGAAGGTAAAAAATTATACAAAGGTACTTCTTATGACTCTCAAGAAGATGATTAGTTTTGACATCATCAGAAAGGGGGGCTGTAAGGTCACACCATATGATCTGATGGGTCAAATACTCAACCCACTTTATGTCAGCATCAGTGTCTACACTAATGGGGTTTGAAACAAAATATAAGTTTGTTTCTCATAAAATCCGGTCAATGGAAGAATTAAAAATAGGAAGTTTATTTTTAGTTTATAACAAATCCAAACCATCAAGGATCCATTTACATAGGTTAGAATGAAATAAAAATAATCAAATAGTTTTTAGAATGACAACCTTTGAAGCCTTTTAACCCACTTTGTTTTCCGGTGTTGATGAAGACACCAAAAAAATCAAAGAAAATGATTTTCTCTATGTGTAAGGCACTTGGAATTCTAGTTCCTTTTTGTATTCTTGAGTTTCTTAAGCCTTTAAGTGCTTAATTCAAATAAGCACTAAAGGATACAACTCAAGAAGGATTCTAAACCACCAAACTAACTTCAAAGAGAGAGATGAGGAGAGAAAGAGAATTTTAGGCCACAAGGTTTAATTGAAGAATTATGACCAAAAACTAGCTAGAGAAAATTCAAGACACATCCTTTATATAACCCATGCAAAGTAAGGGCCTTATAATAAAATACTCTAAGGTATTTGTAGCCTTCAGAAGCATAGGGAGACAAAGCATGGCGGTTGACAAGAAACCTCCATATTACTATATTAAAATTGGCCATACCTCCCAAAAGAGAATGCATTCTTTTATTTTAATATACTGTAAGTTTATAAAATATAAATTTGTATTTAGGTAAAAGATAACACAATCCAACTAGTCCAAAAGATTGTACATGATTTATTAATTCATACCATATGAAATAACAACTAGTTATACTCTCTTATAATTATTATTTTCACGAAACAACAATTATCCCTTAATTAAAATACTAGAATTGATATTATTTATTATTAATCATATTAATAATAAATATACAAAATGTGGCAACTTCATAAATATGTGACCGTATATGATCATATATTATTAGCAATGTCACCCAATAATGATTCTTGGGTAAATAGATTTAACAATCTCCCACTTGGACAAGATTCATTACAAACTGACATAGGTAGTAGCTGACGTATATCAATGGGCTACTGCCTGTAGCAACATATGAAGGGTGTCATCTTATAAACGACCAATTCCAGGAGCTCTAAGCTAGAATTCTTACTAAACGTGTGATATCAATTATTTCATTGTGTAAGACATCTTGTTAGACATGAGAAATGGATTGCAATTAATCTTATTTAGTGTTCAACTTTGAGTAAAGTACAATAATTCCTAAATTTCAAGTCCCAAATATGTATCTCAAGTCTAAGATTTGGGAGATATAACCTTGATAAAAACATCACTATTAACTATGATCCATAAAGTGATTTTGATGCGGGTCAAGTCTAGTACTTATTGTCTTAAGCAAGTACCTATGTAGTTGGTAGTAACTCTTTATATTTCATCTCCATGAAAATCAACCGATCCAGTTATATTAGTCTTACCTCGTAGATTCTCCCACAATAGTGAACGACTATGGACATTTAGAGTAACATAGTTCTTCAAGGATTTAAACATGCTAGTATAGAACACAACAATTATTTAATGAAAGACTCATTTCCAATATCTCAACTCAATATATATTGCTTTTATTGTTCCAATATCCAAATACTAAATTTTAATCAAATGAATCTACTTATATTAACAAGACCCTATAGCACCAGCTTAACTTTCATGATTTGGCTAATGAAGGAGCTTTGTTAAGTAGATTTGTCAAACTTTATTTGTATAAATTTTGTGAATACAAAAGTATTCTGTTATATATATATATATATATATATATATATATATATATATATATATATATATATATATATATATATATATATATATATATATATATAAACATTGAGAATGTATTAAATGCTTAAATATGACTTAGATACCAATATTAGCATAATGGAAGGTAGTGTGGGCCCGTACTATTGAAAGTTGAGGATCTGTACTCGAATAAAGGAAGACTGAGATAAGACCTTGGAACTCGTAGTGTATGTGACCCCTTCAGTTATGATTAGTATTATGACATTTGTTATGATGTATTTTTCAGAATGGTGGTTTGACACCCTAGATCAGCAGTTGGCAGTTTAGGTGTCGGGGAGGGATTCGGCTTACGCTTTGGAGCTGAGTAACTAGATCAGCAGACCAGAGAGTTAATCTCCTTATAGATTACACACAATATACTAGACCAGACTCCGTGATATTTTGCATGATCAAGGAGGGCATTCTTGAGCTTCTGGACGATAGGTTGAGCGCTTTTCGCTCAGAGGTGGCAGCCATGATGGGGTCACGCACGCAGAAATTCAAGGAGTTTAGGGCTTGTGGAGCTCCCGAATACCATACGGCTCAGGATCCTATTGCGAGTACCAGATGGTTGGAAAATTTCGCCAAAGCATTTTGTACCAACAAATGTCATGAGGGATACAAGGATAGGCTTGCATCCTGCCTTCTAAATGACATGACACATGACTGGTAGGAGGAGGTTCGGAGATCCATTGGTAATGATACAGTGTTGGTTGCGATGACCTGGGTGATTTCACGACTAGGTTCAGGGATAAGTTTGCACCTATTATTGAGGTGCAACAGCTTTCTAGGGAGTTCCAGAATCTCCAGTAGACGACGGAGACAGTGGCGGAGATTACCATCAGGTTTAGAGAGAGGGCCCTACTTGTTCCGAAGTATATGGCGGACAAGGAGATGAAGATGGCTAGATACCATGAAATGATGAGGAGTGACATAAGATAGTTTTTTATCCGCTCCAACTGCAAGATGTTGTAGGACATCATTGATAGGGCTCGAGAGAGGGAGTTGGATTTAGAGATGGAGATGAAGAGGAAACGAGATGGTGTTCAGTCAGGGGGTTCGGGCAAGAAGCCCAATGTATCAGATCACAGATCTTGGAGCCAGTAGATCCATGGTGGTTATAGAAAATGCATCAGGATGCACGAGGGGATGTGCAAGGTATGGAGTTCGGGCTGCTACAAGTATGGCCAAACTGGTCATGTGAGCCGATATTGCACAACCACTATCACCACCAAGACATCATCATATCTGATTTGCTTTCAGTGCAATCAGAGGGGACACAAGAGGTCATAGCACCCAAGTTTAGCAATAGCTGGAAAGGTGGCAGTGTTGGATAAAGTGTCTAAGTCCATAACTATTTCTGGTATGTACTTGACCCGACCCGGCATGGTCCATTTGGGTTGCATGG